GTGTGCCTTGGACTTTATTTCACATGAGCTCCAGTGTGGAACCCCACTGCACCCCCTGGTGGATCAATGATCCATTGCAGCTGGCTTCATTATAATTACATTTATCTATCACAGGGGCGGTCTCAAGTAAAGCTGGAGGTTTTCCCTTGAGCGAGGGCAGATCACGTACCAATCACGGCCCTCACGTTTCAAACTGTCTGAAATGAAGCGCTACATCTGTAGTATCTGTCCCCGGCTGTTTGAAGAGCAAGCATGGGAAACAAAAGACAGTGTTTACCTCTTTGCATCCAGCTAGTCACACACACATTTACAATCACACTCCCTGTAATTGACATAATTAATAGATAGTTTAGCTTCTCACCATCATTTGCTGTGGCCCACTGATGTTAACGATCGTAACCGAAAGGCTGCCTGTCAAACGTAAACATTCGCAAACTCTCGCGAGAGTTTTACACAAGACGGATCCTTTCTAGTCATAACCCTGCACTGGGCGCTGACATTGGCGCCCGGTGATCATCAGATTTGACGACGCTGATTGGCTGAAATTATGCTTCGGAGCCATAGCTTACAGATAGCAACAGTCAGCTGCTAGTGGCTGCTGCTGCACTGGTTGAGGGCTCCTCTCTTAGCGCCCAGACGAGAGAGGGTAATGATACACGGGCAAGGCCAGGCAGGAAACATGTGACTTATCAGTAACTTTAGACATCGTAACACAATTTTAAACGAGATTTTATTGTAGATTATATATTTTACTGATACCAATTATATAATATTTACCTTGTTCATTAAAAATAAAATAAATAAAAATGTATGTGGGAAGAGGTGGGGCGGCGCCCCTAGCGCCCCTGTGGGCCGGCCGCCACTGACAGCTGTTTAATAGTACAATTGGTCTAATTGGTTAGCTGGCCGGCTCTGTTGTGATTGGTCAACTGCTTACAGATGTCCCGCCCCTTAGCCAATCATGTAATCAATGCGTTGGAGCTCTAGCTAATTGAGCTCAAGTGTTTCGTAGCGATGTCATTATGATACAAAAGTAAACAAAAGAGTCCAATGGAGGCGTTTCAGGCAGGGGGCGGGGGAAAGGGAAACCCCCAAAAGTATAATAGTGCCTCTTTGTGTTCAACCAGTTGTCAGTGATGCAGAGATGGCAAATCAGTTGTTTCCTGACATGTGGCAGCTTCTTGCCAGCTGGAGGCAGGATGCAGGATACAGAAACGGGCACTAAAAAGCCACATCAGTAAATCCATATCAGGGCGCTCCCCCGAGGAGACAGGATGTTAGTTAAATGCTAAAGAACATATATTGTGCTGCGGTCGTCACAAACAGGACTGTGCTGTTGCTAAGAGGAAAAACATGTGGAGTGAGCCTTCATAGACCCTATTTACCACGTCCTGACACTGCTGGATGTGATAACAGGGATCCAGCGTCTGGTGGTCGGCCGCTGGGAAGGTGCCGTGTATCGACAGGTGTGCTCCAGCTGCTGCTGCTGCTACACAGAGACAGGGTGTGGGCAGGAGGGGGGAGGTATAGAATAAATGCTTTAGACAGGTGTCGGCTGGGGAAATTGCCTACAGGTACTAAAATAAGTAAACGTTTTTGTACTACAATTATCTTTTCTTGATTACCATTTACCTCTTATGTATTTGTTTGTTTATCTATCTGTTTATGTATTTGTTGTTTTTGTTTATTTGTTTGTTTTTCAATAACAATTGTATTTCTTTAAGAAAAAATATATATATATGTTAATAATTTTATTTTGTGGGAGAAGGGGTGGGATTCAATAAGTGTAAACTTCCCTCCACCCCTTTTCGGATGTGTAATTAAGTAGATAATTATTTTATATATCATTTAGAATCAGTAATATTTTTGTATATCAATTTGACACTGCTTAATTTTGTATTGTATAATAATCCTCATGTTACATTTTTGTATTATTGTTTTACACATTCGAAATAAATCAAATCAAAATTAAATCAAATGTGTCCATTAAAACAAACAATATACTCTCTATGTGTAGAAGGGTTGCACTCCAGGTTATAATGATTCAGCTCAAATGGATCTGTCCAATGGCAGGAAGCAGGAGATAGTGAGACCGTGAGTCAAACACCATGTGAGATTATCTAACATGAAGCGTTGGCACCGGAGCAGAGTCCTTGGCTTAACTGCAGTGACTCAGAGAGGTTGTTTTATGTGTCATCACTTTGTGGTTAGGTTTAAGCTCTGAATCTTACTTGGTTAGGTTTGGAAACAAATACACCACAGACTCACCCTCATGTGATTCTGAGCGTAGCATCATAACTTCTTTTAGCTTTTTGTTTCACACGGGACACCAAAGCAGGTCCCACGCGGGAAACTCCTGTGTGTGTTTGACCCAGCCCTAATACTCCCACCCTCAGCTCACTTAACACTAAGAGTGTAGCTCTGAGCGGCTAATAATTACGTGGATGTGTTTACATTGGATTAATTAAAAACCCAGAGGCCAACGCCCACTGCCTGAGGCTCGGTATTTGAAGCCCTGGGAGTGAGACTAAGATAATTTAATATGTTGTATGCTTATTAACTTATTGAGAGTTAGATGTTTAAAGGTACCTACCAGCAGATTTAAGGCTCACTAATATGTTGTTACATTTTGTTTGATTATTCCTAATTGTCAAGCAATATCCTCACACTTGACCTCAGCAAAATGTCAAACTGCTGCTTTTACTTATTGTCTTTTAAACTGATTAAATAAACAAGAGATACAGTATCAATAGGAGAGCTGAGTGAGATACGTTTAGAGCTTTCTGGCAGGCTTCTTCAATCACATTAAGCTGGCTGTTTTTAAAGACCGCCAGGAAGGCAATAGGAATATCATTTATTTAAATCTGAACAGTATTCATAGACATTTTGCATTTGATATGGTTTGTTACTTTGGTGTTCGAACTGTGGTGAAGTGTTGAAACAATACAATTTCAGTTTTTTGGGGTAAAACTTTGTCTCATTTAGACAGTTGTACTTTTAGGGAGATGTGATGTATCCTCCTTTTAATGACATAAGTA